TTTTCAATTTCATTTTTGGTTTAAGCTGACTGCTCCTTATATTTCGGTTCACGTGTGGTAGAGGGTCACTATCAAAACCAAGCTTGAAGAGGAAGAAAAGGAGAAGCTTCAGAAGTTGCAACAAGAGTGAGTTTATTTCCTACTTACTATGGCATTTTTGCAAAGCTGAAATATTGTAATATGTATGAATTTTGTTGTGATGTATGTTAAAATTTGTCGACTGATTCTTCTGTCATAGGGAAGAAGAGCTACAGTTACAAAAGCTTAAAAAGAGGAAGATTAAGGCTGACCCTCGGCTCTCCTTTTGTGATGATTTGGATAATGGCAATGAAGATGAAGATGAGGAAAATAGTAAGAAATAATTTTCTTTTCTAGTCTTGAAATTTGAAGTCTTCCAGAGCAATTGGGACTATTTCATTCACATGCTTCTTTTTGAAGTGAAAATTTGTGGAACCCGTGATTAAGATATTTAATTTAAGAATGTGATCTTCTTTCTTAGACTGGGTAACTTTCTTGAGGTTGCATAGTCCCTAAACAAGCTGAATAATTAGCAGTCTTCTCAGTTCTTTATGTTAGTTTGTTTTTGCCATGTTTCAGAATACATTATTCAGTATCACTTGGGTGTCTACCTTAGAGTGAGATGTTTCTTTCCCTCCTTTACTATTAGGCGAGAAGGGGAGAGGATGATTGTTGTATTATTTTGTCGGGATAAGGATTTTGGGGATATTGCTAGTAGGTAGATCATAGACGATACATGGCTTGTGACATCTCATTTTTTGGAACTCTGACATGCACATGGCACAATTGTCTAAGTATTAACTGTGAGAGAACTTTCTGCTGGTCTGTTCGATCACATAAATCTGCAGTTTGACATGATTTCAGCTTTGGAGGTAAATGCACTTGAGTTTCAGGAGTTTCTGAAAGTAGATATCCTACAGTTCATAACTTCTTTAATGAAAATCCTGTTTCATCTATCATCTCTTCCTCACTGTAATTTTTCTGTTCTTCCTCATCAAGATTTAGTCTCGTAAGTATGTTTGCTATGTTGCGGGCCACTATGACGCTATCAAGTATCAAGTGTCACCAGATATGCATATGTACATGCAGGGCCATCCACAACATGAGCATGTTTAAACAATTATGTTAGCTATTATTTCCGACATAGTTGAAGATATAAATTGGGTTCAGATTGTGATGGCATGGTACTTATATTTCCATTCACTTTCATCTCCTATATAGAGAATGAAGAATCTGACAAGCGCGTGTGGAGAAAGTTTGGGAAAGATCCTACAGTAGAGACAAGCTTCTTGCCGGACAGGTTGGGCATTCCTACAATCTGCTTCCCCCAAAATAAATCCTTTCTACTTCTGTTTTACTTATCGTGTTCTCTTCTGGCCTTTTTACTATGTAATTTGGAATTCAAAGTGCACCTTTTCAGTGAGAGGGAGGCAGAGGAACAAGCAGAACGTGAAAGGCTCCGGAAACAGTGGTTGCGCGAACAGGAGCTAATCAAAAGTAAGCATATTATTCTTGTTTAAACATTTTCCAGTATTCCCTTACCCCGTCTTGGAACAGTTTCCTAGAAATCTGAAGTGTTTGAAGAAGCTTAGGTTCTGATTGTTTCTCTTGCAATATTTCCAGATGAGCCTCTACAGATAACTTATAGCTATTGGGATGGAACAGGCCATAGGCGGGTGATCCAGGTCAGTAACTACTAGGCATGAAGATCCAAAGGTTTTCCAAACTTTTGGATTCACTTATACTTCTAACATTTCCAGGTGCGGAAGGGTGATAGCATAGGAGAGTTTCTTCGGGCTGTTCAGCAGCAACTTGCACCTGAGTTTCGGGAGGTTCGAACTACTTCAGTGGAGAATCTTCTTTATGTGAAGGAAGATCTAATCATTCCTCATGTAAGATCCTTTTTACCTTTGTGATTCATGTCTTACCTTATAATTTGCTGAATATTGGCTAACTTACTACTAATTTTATTAAATGTTCAGCAACACAGTTTCTATGAGTTGATTATAAACAAAGCCAGAGGAAAGAGTGGACCGGTAATGTTCAACCCCGACCTATATTCTGGTGAAGTTGATGCATCACGTTGCTTGTTGCTTATGTCTAAGAAAAGAAGAATACCAAGATACCGTTTCCAATTTTTTCACATTAATCAGTCAAAGAAGTAGAATCTCTCTTCTGTACTGAGTGCATTTTTCTTAGATAGAGCTTTATTGTTTATCAAAAATAGCATTTGAAAGAAAATGATGAAGTTCCAGGGGTGTTAGAGGTGGCAGTGTAATAGAGCCGTCTCATGAAATGATCTTTGCCTTTTGGTTATCTTTTATCCCCGACAACTGTGCTTTGATTAACACAATTATTGAAATTTAAAGGATACCTACAGTTTCCATTTTTACATCTATTGTACGTTACTGTCTTCAGTTAAAGCTTATTTTACAAGTAAAGGAGCACACACACATCCTTTCACGTGTGTAATTACAAAAGAATGTCCAACGATAGTAATTACTAAAAAGTTGTATAACTATGTATCTGTAAGTCTGCGTCTTGGTCTTTGTATAACGCCTTACAAGTTACGTCTTTGTGTGATGTCTAGTACCTGATTTCTAGTTTGTTTCCAAGTTTATATTAGATCCTGTGGCAGTCACTCAGAAATATCTTTACTTCTCTTTGACAGCTTTTTCACTTTGATGTCCATGAAGATGTGCGGACCATTGCTGATGCTACTATTGAGAAAGATGAGGTATGATTTCCTATGCAGATTCATTTTCTCCATGTTAAGTGATTTTTAATTGTGCTGGTTACAAAAACTTTTCACCATGATATATCATATTGAGTGCCTTGTATGATGCATTTTTTAATTTTGGGATGCCATTGATTGATTAAAAGAACTTTGGGTGCTGCTGTAGCATGACATATGCTTTTTTAATTAATAGAAATGGAAGGTTATTCTCCTTCGGGGTGATCCAGTGGTTTGGGCTTGTGACTTAATATGTTGGAGCTCTCAAGTTCGGAACCCCTTGCCAGCGAAAGCAAGGGGTTTGCCTCCTGGGTCAAGCTCGTCACACCGGGCCTGCCTAGTGCGGGTTATCTCTCCTGTGTGGTTTGTGAGCTATTGCATAGGAGCGGGGGTTCTGCCCTTGCGCACCCAAAGAGTAGCAGCTACGGGTTTCCCTTGTCATCAGAAATAGAATCTTTTTAGTTTTTTCTTCCTCTTTCCACCTGTTCCTCTGAAATTGACCTCAATAGCAAATATCTAGTATGATGTCCTGGAACCACTGTTAATCACAGAGAACATAAAAGCCCTGAGTGTGTGTGAGAGAAAGAGAGGAAAAAGGGGGGAGGGGGGGCAGATACTTTACATAATCGTTCAAGTCACTTGTCCATTCCAACTGAGCATTGATTTTTCTTAATTTAATTATGTTACTACTGATTTACAGTCACATGCTGGAAAAGTTGTAGAGAGGCATTGGTATGAAAAGAACAAGCATATCTTTCCAGCTTCACGGTGGGAGGTAACATTTCTATTTCTATTTTCCTTTGCCCTTCTGTTTTTTTTCTTTAGTGTCTGGCAATGGACTTGATTGACAATTATCAAGTCATGTCTTTTAAGTGCTCAGTTGACACCGGTTTCTTGAGTATATTAATGCTGCTATTGATACCATACTCCAACTAACCAAACAAAATACTGTAGTTGCTCTCATAACCACCCTTCCACCTCCTACCATTCAAATCCGCAATGTAGTATAACTATTTTCTTCTGCGTAATATGCTTTTGGTTGTCTTTCCGTTTCAGATATATGACCCAACAAAGAAGTGGGAGCGATATACAATTCACGGGGATTAAGTGTCATCGCCAATGAGATTGCCATTTTTCATCATCATTTGACATGTTAAAGACAGAAAGGGCTTAAACTTTAGTTTTTACTTGTACGATGTTTGTGTAAGATCAAAGGAGGTGCTGATGTATTTCTTCTACTCCCAATATATTGTACTTTTTGGATTAAGAACTCCTACTCTAGATTATTAATGTATTGAAATTTGTTTTACTATTTGTATTACTTATTCTACTTTGTTTTCCAGTTCCCATAGAATAGCCCTATTGAACTTCTTTATTTAATTATTAGCAGGTTGGCAACGTGAGCACCACAAGTTCACTATCAGTTGTATATTTTCACTAAATTTTATGTTTGTTGACACCACTTGCTAGGCATAGTAGATCACGATCTCAGCATGATGAACATGCAAATTGTCAGTATGAATTTGTTAAGCAAAATAATATAACAAATATGTGTCACTATTAAAATCTTACCTTTAAGCTCGTATGGCTAATGATTATATTTAATACGTAACTGTGATTTTAATCCTAGACTTTTAACATATTTACAAGTTTTAGCATCTCATTTTACAAATTCCACTACTGTGTTGTATATCATTCAAGTTCGGAAATCAAGTTCAGATTTCCGAAGAAATTAGCTTTTAATATGGTAAATTGAAAAATAGATCAATTACTACCTATTATAGCAAGATAATTACTCATGATTATATTAAGTTGACTTACAAGTATGGTAACTTAAAAAATAAGTCAATTATCAACTATAACAACTTAACTTATATCAATGCTGCAAAAATTATATATACTGCACATAAAAAAATTATGAAAAATCATTAGCCATTTTTTTAAGAATACAAAATTTGTGAGAGGTAGTTTTTCCTAATCAATTATTACTTCCTCTAATCCAATTTCTTAAAGCACTTTTAAATTGTTCAAATAAATATATTATTCAAAGTTGAAAGATACATATTTTTTTCCTTTTAAAAGTTACTCTTAACAAAAAAAAAATGGTATTAGCAAATAATCTTTTAATCAATATTATTAATGAACGTTTTAAAGAAAAAATGAATAAGAATAGCTTTTTTTAAAAAAAATTAGGTTAGTAACTCTTTCTTCTTTCGAGCCCAAAATGACAATATTTCAGATTTGGGCCGAATAATTCTCTTGTTTACCCAAAAGAAAAAAAAGAAAAAGAAAAAACAAAAATTTAGACCGTGTGTTCTTCTTCTCTGATTTCTGTTTAACTTTCGTCTTAAAGTCTTCCTTTGTGTATACCGTCTTCTTCTCTCTAACGCTTCAAAAATGGAAATTAGGGTTTTTTGTGTGTTGGCTCTTCTCCTCTTTTCTTCATCGTTCCTTCAAGGTTTGCTTCACAGATCGCAGATCCCCTTAGTTTGTTCATTTCCGTAATCAAATCCCGCATCTTTGCATGCTAATTTGATTGTTTGCATTTGCATTTACATGCACGATTTCATGAATACTTATTATGTTATGATCTTTGCTTAATATACTCTGTTTCGTTTATCTTGGGAATTGAGATTCTCTTCGATGTAATCGATGTTTGACTATTTAATTTTAGTTAAGGCTTCCACTCTAGAATAATTTTGTATTTTCTTTTCGATTTAATTTCACAATATGATATGGATTAGTCGAGTAAATCTCGGATATTATTAAATATTATGCTTGAATCTTCTCCATTTGGAAATAGTAAGCACTAGAATTGAAAGTTGACTTTTAATTATGAATTAATTTTGCTAGTTTTGGCAAGTCAAACTAATTGTTTTTAACTTGTCATAACTGGTGTTGCATGCATTGCCCGTTCCCTGATCAAATTGTTGATTCTTTTTGTTTAGTTTGATCTTTGTTGTTATACTGAGAGTTGGCTTTTACTCTTCAACCTGTTATGTTGTAAAGGTCATTTTCAGTAAAATGTATGTTGCTGATTTGTGTAGATGACATTAACTGGTTTAGGATTGAGGTGTAGTAGTTATTACTCTGTGTTATTATTGTTGTATTTGTAATGTTCGTTATGGTTTCCTTTGATCTCTTCTTTTAGTTGCTAGAAGTCAGTCTGACCCTGCAGTAGAAGTGGTTGAGGGTACTGAGGAAGCAGGGGATCTTGGAATTGTTGGCGATGATGTTCAAGACTTTAGCAGTGAGAGTTATACTCCTGCAGCTGGGGTTGAAACAATTTGTGTTTTCCCTAAAAACCCTTCGAAAGGTAAGAACTTTAAATTGTGTGTTCTACTCTTGTCTTTATTATTATTACGTAATTTAGTTTTTGAAAAGGTAGATGTTAATGGTTTGCTCTCTTAAATCATGTTTTTTGTTGTCTATGCAGTAGTGGCAGCTGGTGAGGAGAGTGAACTGTTAGTTGGCATGAAAAATGATGGTAGTTCTGTATTTTTCTTTTCGTTTGCTTATTTGGTGTTTGATTTTCAGTAGTAATTTTCTGATAGCATCTCTTTGTTCATCTGCTCTGATGGATTTATTTACTACTTTGGGTTCTGAAAACAGGGGAATCACATCTGAATATCATTGCTATCCAAGCCAGTGTTCACCTTCCTTTTGATCACCGCTATTTGGTTCAAAATCTTTCTGTACAGGTGATTGTTGGCTTACCTGAACAATTTTCTTATTTCTTCATTCTTAGTATTTCACATCCTGCATTTCTTAGAAATTCTTTGTCAATAGTTTCTAAGAATGTGAGCCCTGTTGTTAAGTCTGTGTATTATTTGTATCATTCACGCAAGGACTGTTAATTTTATAGTGAACCGGTTGTGAAAATGGGGAAGAAACTGAGCTCAGGCGGACAATTTTGCTGAGTAGCTATAATCCCCCCCCCCACCCCCACACACACACTCACCCACCCCCAAAAGAAAAAGAAAAACCATCATTTGTAGGATGCAGTGGCTTGCTAGCTGAATTATATGACAAGGTTTATTAAACTGATCTACTTCAAGCTCTGCACTTGAAATCATATGGTATCATTTGAGAGTTGTGTTTATCTTGAGTGGTGATCTTCACAAGGTTTTCAAATATCTGGTCCAATGATAGAGTTATAACTTCTGGAATTTTAATTTTTTGAAGTATCGTAATCAATCAACTATGTGAGTGAAACTGATGATTTAAGGAGTTGAGTGACATAATTGATGACCTAAAAAGAAAACTTGAACTGTTAATTTAGTACGAGGGAAGGGTGTTCAGTGCTTAAATATGCTAAGAACTATTAGATGTTCTTTCAATCTTACACAGGTTTTCACTTAATCTTAGAAGATCTCCAATTGGTCAGGCAAATGATTTCTGTTTTAGTTGTGATGGAGCAGTGATGTAAACCTCCAATTTGAAGTGGGTATCTCTCACCTCAAGTTGGTGCACAAGAAGTTGGTCAGATAGCCAAAAACAAGAAGATGGGCTGGTAGTGAATTGCTGGTGATATAAAAGAAAGAACAGGCAAAATAAGAGGACAATAGTTGAGGATATGGCTTCCATTAGAATTTCATTTTCTTAAAAATCGCTTTCAACTAGGCACCTTAGGGATTATATGTGACCTGAAGTAGAGAACCAATTCGGCAACAAGTAATCACATGTAGCTTTCTCAAGTAATTTTCCCACAGGCTGTTTCTTTCTACTTACCATCTCCACTGTCTATGATGGCCTTATGGTGAAACCATAGTCTTATTTTTGTTATTGACATTGCTTTTGCGGATGACTGTTTTTGTTTTGTAATTGTTGCTGTTGTGGTGGTTGTTCTTGTTATGAGTATAATTCTGGTTTTTGCTGATATGCAATGTGTGATATAAAAAAGTTTGTGGTATTAGTTTACTTTAACGTACTCAGTGATTAGAATTGGTAATCACATGTAGTAATTGCTGAAGATATATTGTCACAGGATTTTTTCCTGCTTTAATAACCCATATCTATATTTGCATTTCTTGGAATTCTTTTTTAAAAATTATTATTATTATTGCTGCTACTATTATTATCAGTTTTACTGTTGTTGTTGTCTTTGTCGTTATTGTTATTGTTGTTGTCATTGTCTTTATTGCTGTTGTCATGGTCGTTATTGTTATTGTTGTTGTCATTGTCTTTATTGCTGTTGTCATGGTCGTTATTGTTATTGTTGTGTATTATACGTGTTTGTTCAAACATCTCTGAGATATTTTCATGTTTTGTTAACTGTGATTTGGATACGATAATTGGCTAATTGTGTATGTTCTTTCATTTACTAGGCTTTTAACAACGCAACAGTTCCTCCTTCAGCTCAGGCTACTTTTCCATATATATTTGCTGTCAGCAAATTTATGCAGGTTCGTTTACAGAGCATTGTTACCCTCTTCTCCCATCAATTAACAGGGAAAATATTGCCCAGCTTATATTTATATAATTTGCTTTCAAGTAATTCTCACAGTTCCTTCTCTGAACTGATGACTCTGTTCTGTCATGTTTCAGCCTGGAAGTTTTGATCTTGTTGGCACAATTGTTTACGAGATAGATCAGAATGCTTACCAAAATGTGTTCTACAATGGAACTATTGAAGTGACTGAACCTGGTGGTCTTCTCAGTGTTGAGTCAGTTTTCTTGTTTTGTCTTGCTGTAGCCCTCCTTGGTCTTCTTGGGTTCTGGATCCGTGGTCAGATACAAAATCTCTCAAAGGTGCTTATACTTACCTATGTTCCCTGTAAGACTGGATAGTAAATGTGCTTCAAAACCTCTGTTATTTCGTAAAATGCCTGTAGGGCATGTATGAGGGGCCACAAGTAGTAAATATCTGGGGTTATTATTTCTTCATATCTTGCATCACTATCCTCTTGACATGTCTTGTGTCAAAGGACCCTGAAATCTGCTTCTAAGAGTGACTGAGAGCTGATGTGGCAGTGATGGTGAGAGGGTTTTTCAGACTTGGAGGCATTACATATGAGAACAAAATGATTTGCTGAGCAGCTGGACCTAATAAAAATACCTTGCCATCTAGTCCTACTTAGTGCGCTTTTCTGAGTAACTTATCTTTTTTGTTTTTTGTCAGTAATAATCACAGTAGGGGTTTAAGTGTATAAATTCCTGTGCTTTTTTTCCTTCTTAATCATTGTCTTTATTATTTTGGATGTGTGTAGAAAACTAAGAGAGCACCAAAGGCAAAGGTTGAAGTTGGAACTGCAACAACTGATGCATCCACAGACGAATGGTTGCAGGTTTGTGGTTTATTATAATGTTAAAGAGTATATTCTGGAAATGTTTTGGCAATGTAGTCTTCAAATTATCATTGCTTACTTTTATTTTTTGGACTTGGTTTTCAAGAATTTGCTGACTGACTTGTCCTGATCTGTTTTTCAAGGGAACTGCATATTCTCAGTCGCAGGCCAACAAGTTGAAGAAGAAGAAGTGAATGCGTTGAAGCTACTAGCTTAGCTGTATGAAGCAGTATGATAAGTCTACAATCCTGAGTTCGGCTTGGATTTTACGTGATCTCCTAGACGTGAGGTTTTAAATTAGAATTGTTAGACCTGCTTCACTGTTGTAGCATGAAGTATAACTTATTATCCTCCAATTTTTACTACCAATGAACTAACTGGGTATCAAGGATGCAAAGAAACAGTTTTGTCAAATTCACTCTCATTTATCTTCTCTTTTTGTTTCTTTGAGTTAGATGGTTCTGTCAATATCACACCCCTTATACCCTGCTAATGTGGGATGCTTGTGCACCAGACTGCCCTTTTTCCATATAGTTGCGTCATCTAGGAAAATTTTATGTGTTTATTTTAATGTGGTAATACCTAACAGAAACAGCGATAGGTTGGACCATGGGAATGTGAATACCTTACTTAGATGGAAGCAGATCACATCAATATACAGATCATCAAGGCCTGTTTCATTATTATGACATTTAGGAGATTGGTGAAGAAGCAAAAGATTTCATTAAAGATATTTTATTTTCTAGGTTTGCTGGATGTGTCGTATCCACATTTGTTTGTTGCACTGAATTAGTAGATGCAATTAATCATCACATGCTACAGAAAATAAATAAAGCTACCATTCATTATATGTTTAATTGTGGATCCTCACAAAACTTATTGCTAACCGTGAGGTATCATTTTCCTTCCTCTTTCTGGTTTGAGAGGAGGGAAATTTTTTAGTTCTCTTCGACAAAAACCAGAAGAAAGGAAAAAACAATTTTTTAAACTCATTTCGCACCCCACGATATCTTTACTGTCATAGGAATGATCATTTGCACACCATGCTCCTAGACTCCATTGTGAGATTTTACTGAGCTTGCTGTTATTGTTATATTTATTTAAGAAGAATAACTTGACACGGAGTTTAAGAAAATAAAAAACATATTTGAATCTTGTGATCTTAAATTAAAAATATGTCAACTGTATAAAAATGCTCTATAATCTTGTGGCTTTAAATATGTCACGTGAAAAGTTGAAATTAAAATGTTGCCAAAAATAGAAAGAGTTCATTCTTTTTAAAACAAAAAAAAATTCATTTTTTTAAAACGACCTTCTAACGTGGCTCACCAATTTTGTGCTTTGCCTAGTACAACGCTGCATTCAAGTGAAATCATGCTTAATCAGATGGGGAATCATTTACTCTGTTCTATGAAAGCTTAACCACTTTCCTTTCTGATTCTTTCTTTTTTTCCACCTAAGTTAAAAGCGATAGCAGTGTATTCACAACGTAAATTTCAAAGTTTAATATACATTTACCATCTATTACCTGGTAATTTTCTTAATATATGTAAAGATATTGTTGGACAGCACTAAACAAAGCAAGTTGGACAGCAATGACAATCAAGATATTGTTTAGTTATATTTTAACATTGGGGTAGAAATGAAAGTCATATAACAAGACATTTTGATAACAAATTTTATTAGTATGTGATGCATAAGTCAATAAAAGGACAAAAGAATGATCTAAAATTGTCAAATTTATGAAAGTAACATTTTTTTTGCAGTGATTGTGTGTCAGAAATAGATAATTGAAGAAGTCGCCACGAGGTAGATGGAGGTGGGATTTTAATTTGCGGGACAAACAAAGGACAGCAATTTTCTTCCCCTTTTTCATTTGTTTTTAAAAAGGGAAATCAAACAAATTACTGATATATCTTTGCAGTTATATGTCAATTCAGTTGTCCAATACCTAATGAGCTTTTCAAATGTCATAATTTTATTTTGAGATTGATTTTTCATATGATCGTTCGAAAAATAACAAATGAGTAGTATTAGTTAGTCATTTATTAAATTGTTTCCTATAAAAGGGGTAACAAAAATGAAAGCTTACATTCTGATTAATCCAGACTATATTACACTATTGTTATAGGATTTCATAGTAATTGTCGATGAATGGGACCAATAGAACAGTCTTTTATATATGTACTTCCATTTTATTCCACACTTTATTGGGTTAAATCGATACTCTTAACATGATTTTTTGAAAATAATTTGCATTATTAAAGTATTCTTACAACTTATATCTAGCTTCTCAAACTGTTCAATATTTTGTCAATCATTCGTACACCCAACCACAATGGAAGACAGTAAAAAACTTTCCTTATATTAAAAAAGACTTAACCCTGTGGATTATGTAATTTTCTAGGGGAGGAACTTGTAAAAATAGGATACATGCGCATAACTCAAACGCAAAAGGGAAGTGTTGCCAAGTTCAGATTATCAATCCATCTAAAACCAAATGCAACTAACTAATGCAAAAGATGCAAGATCGAATGTTATTGAATTATAGGAAGAGGATGCAGCTATGGTAGAAGTACTCTAGATTAGTACAATAATAAATTTTTGTTCCATAATTTGCCGCAGTAGAAGTTAGTTGATTAATGTCAAAAAATCACGTGAAGATTGGGAGAACATGTTTTTGTTACTCACTATAAATGCCAACATTTACCTGCCCCTTGTATTCAATTTAATAGAAAGAATGGCAATCATATCATTATTAACAGTTTTAAGTTCAAAAAAGTAGTCAAAGTTTCACATATAATTCAGTAAAATAAGTGACATTAATGAGAGCTAACAAAGTAGGTTAACAGATAGAAAAAAAGGCATTTTTATGTACAGTTGGAGACCTCATTGAATGATGATAATGTCATTTTATCAAACAGCTCTGTGACCACCCATTCCTCAATAATTTTTTTATTTTTATTTTACAAAAATCACCTTTCAATTTTATAATCTTTCTGTCATTCATAAAAATTCAAGACCATGGGACCTAAACTCATGTGAGGACCTTAATTACGTGCCGGTGAGCCGGTCATAAAAACAAAGTTTTTCTTTACTTTATGGTAAGCAAACAATTACTATAAATATACCCTCTAGTTAGTTGAGAGGAACACATTCAAGAATATCATTCAAAACTTACATTTATTTTGTATAAACAGAATGGGGCTTCAGTCCCTTTGTGGCAGAGTCCTTCTGGGACTGTCCCTGTCTTTACTACTCTCTACTTTCTGCATTGCTGATGACAACACAATTAAGGTGGTTGGTTTTGGAGAATGTGCTGACTGCAAGGAGAATAATATTAACACTATTCATGCTCTATCAGGTTCTCTCTAATTTCATTTCAATGCATGTCATGTTATCTGTCTTACTATTTCACAGTATCAGAAAAAGAATAGCATGTATACAAGTAACCTGATTTTGACATTCTTAACATAACAAGTTGATATTTTTGGACACCCTTTAAAAAATCTCTGACTCTGCGTCTCTGCCACTGAGTAGATTTCCATAACATTGTTATATTATTGGTTTCAGGACTTCATGTAAGCATTGACTGCAAGCTTGCAAATGGAGAAATCAAAACAAGGGGAGAAGGAGAGCTTGACCAAGATGGCAAGTTTGAAGTGTCACTTCCGAAGGAGATGATGAAAGATGGCAAGCTGAAAGAGGAATGCTATGCGCAGTTACATAGTGCATCATCTGCACCATGTCCAGCACACAATGGCATTGAATCATCCAAGATTGTTAGTATTAAAACTGATGGCAAAAATACATTGAAAACAGCTGGAAATCTTAAGTTCTCAACACCCTTGTGCACTTCTGCTTTCTTGTGGCCTTACTTTAAGTACCCACAGTTGCCACCTTTCCCAAAAGATCATTCTTGGATGAAGAAGTTCCCTAAGTTGCCACCATTTCCACCAATGCCACCATTGGGACACCCTTTTCCTCTTCCACCTATTCCTCCCTTTTTTAAAAAGCCATGTCCCCCACCGCTAGAAAAGCCACTTCCTCCTCCAGTTCCCGTTTACAACCCAACACCAAAGCCCACACCAGTAGTTAAGCCACTTCCTCCTCCCGTTCCTGTTTACAAACCAAAACCAAAGCCTCCTCCCGTTCCTGTTTACAAACCAAAACCAAAGCCTCCTCCAGTTCCTGTTTACAAACCAAAACCAAAGCCTCCTCCAGTTCCTGTCTACAAGCCCAAACCAGAGCCTCCAGTTAAAAAGCCATGTCCCCCTTCAGTTCCAAAACCAAAGCCTCCACCAGTTAAAAAACCATGCCCTCCTAAAGTTCCAACTCACAAACCCAAGCCTAAACCAGAGCCACCAGTAGTAAAGCCACTTCCTCCTCCAGTTCCAGTTTACAAACCACCAGTAGTGAAGCCACTTCCTCCTCCAGTTCCAGTTTACAAACCACCAGTAGTGAAGCCACTTCCTCCACCAGTTCCAATTTACAAAAAGCCATGCCCACCACTTCCACCACTGCCACCAATAGTGAAGCCACTTCCTCCTCCGGTTCCAATTTACGTGCCACCCATAGTAAAACCCCTGCCACCACCTGTTCCAATTTACAAAAAGCCATGCCCACCACTTCCACCATTCCCTAAAATTCCTCCATTCCACCATCCTCTATTCCCACCACTCCCACCTAAGATCCCTCACTCATAGACCAAAACATTAAATTCAACAGTTCCTTTTGGGTGTATGTAGCCATGAAAATTATTTGCATTTTAATGAATAAAATCAACATTCAAGAGATATAATGCTTGAGAATGTCAAACATAAGAGATCAGAGAAATAGGAAAGTTATTTGGGGTGGGGAGTTTGGTTTGCTTTGTTAATTAGTTTTCATGCAAATGTTTGTATATCAATCATGGTCCAGAGGGTGATGTTGTATACGTTTGAGAACGGATCTTTTAAATTTTTCTTGTAATGTTATTGTTTATTCTCATTCATAGAAGCTACTCATCGTTGTACTGCTCCTTTCTAATGCTACAAAGTTAATTAATAATGTCAGAATTTATTAGGATACTTATTAGAATATAATAATCTATAATTTTCAGTGATCACTGGCGATTGATAGAGATCGATGATACATTTCTATCAATCTTTATCATAATTCATAATCATAGTTGGCTTATATGCTCATTTACGGTTCCATTAATTATATAGTAGCAGATTCCACGGCTACCGACAAATCCCAGTAAATGCTATCTACCTACTTGTTGTGTAGATAAAACAATCAATCTTCCTATAATTAGCGATCCATGATTAAGCAATTAACACACAATTATTCATTTCCTATGGTAGCTATTCCTAATTTATTCCATTCAATTTGTCCAGCTATTTAAACCAGTGCCACACTTGACTTAAAAAGTTTTAATTAAGTTGAGAATAATACAGATAAATTGTACTGTACTGATGAGAAAAATACATTACAAGGCCGTTTATAATTATTGAAATATTTGTTCAAACTTTGAAAAAAAACTTATTCATGTTATTAGTTTGACTCATTTCTGTCAGAATTACTTTTTACACCTAGTCAATTATGATTCAACCATATTGTTAATTAAATTATTTTTTAAAAGAGAAAAAACTTAAATATGTTATCAATCAAAAATTGATATAAATAAGTCATTTTTGTAACGAATGACATAAATAATTATTTTTCTCGTAGGATTATAACCTCAGCTCAAGTAACAACAATTCAAAGCAGATGGATGGAAAAAAAAAAGGGAAGTGGAGAAGCATGGGAATTCATGCACAAATTAAGAAGAGAGCTTTACCAGAAAAAGAGACATGTTCAGATGCCCAAAATAATGGGCCTGTAGATATCGCACAGAAAAAACATGGGCTTGTGGATATTGCCACCTTAAAAACGGCCCATTAGCATCAGTGACGCATATATCACGTGATTAGCCATATCTCTAACTAACTATGGTAACTTTTTCACCAACCAGGGTGACTTTTAACTCAAGTCCGTCCTCTACCAGACTCTCCAAGATCCCGACACCTGTCCAATCAAACGGTGGTGATTATTCTTTCATAAGTTATCCGTGTTCACATTTTCCTATATAATATTCCGTCTCGCTTAAACCCTAAGCACAAATCGTACCATCTTGTAAGTTTGAGAAACGTCTAGTCTAGAGAGAAATGGCAAATCCAAAGGTTTTCTTTGACCTTACCATCGGTGGTGCACCAGCTGGTCGTGTGGTGATGGAGCTCTTCGCCGATACCACTCCCAAAACCGCTGAGAACTTCCGAGCTCTTTGTACCGGTGAGAAAGGTGTTGGAAAGATGGGGAAGCCTTTGCACTACAAGGGCTCAACCTTCCACCGTGTGATCCCAGGGTTCATGTGTCAAGGAGGTGATTTCACCGCCGGAAACGGGACCGGAGGAGAGTCGATCTATGGAGCCAAATTCAACGATGAGAACTTCGTTAAGAAGCACACCGGCCCTGGAATCCTCTCCATGGCTAATGCTGGACCTGGAACCAACGGTTCTCAGTTTTTCATCTGTACCGCTAAGACTGAGTGGCTCAACGGAAAGCACGTCGTGTTTGGACAAGTTGTTGAAGGCATGGATGTGATTAAGAAGGCAGAGGCTGTTGGATCTAGCTCTGGAAGGTGCTCCAAGCCTGTGGTTATTGCTGACTGCGGTCAACTCTAGATCTGATGATGATGATGATCTAGTTTTATCAGTCTTTTATGTATTTGAGTCGCCGTTTTAGGCTTTGTTTTTAATTTCAAACTATCTCTACTGCTTTGGTCGGGTCGTGTCGGGTCGAGTTCTAGGGTTAACCGTAATTGGTTGTTGTGTTGCTTCTACCAGTTTATGTTTAATCTTAAGACTACAATTAAATAAGATACTCATAGACTTGCTAATGCTAATCTCGATTTTGTTGCTTAATCTCCAAATTTTGGTTGAATGTCGTCATACTTTTGTGCTGAACTAAGTCATCATTTTGTTGTTTTCTTTTTGGCCGATAAAGATGTGACAGTGTGTTGACCTGAGCGTGGTTTACGTGAATTGAATGTATTCCTCCCTCTCAATTGTGGGTCCTATTCGAATATAATGCCGATATTTTAAATTTGTGGTATATGTGGATCAAATTGAGCGGTGACTCTTGTGGCGCACCACCGAACAGCGTACTATTAATTAAGGTGTTCTTAATTTGCTTAAGAAGAAAAGTTAGATTACTAATCCCCAAAAATAATATTCGACCCCTTCCAAAACTAAACCAATACCAAAAAAAATGTCACTTCCATGTGTTGGGTATGGGGTTTTAGTATTTATCTTTTAGGAACACTGGAGTGTGATTCGTTGAACTGCGTGTGGCTCATTTGAATGGTAGATACAGTTTTGAAGAATTTTGACGTTTGCTTATTTTGAAAAGATTACACATTCTTGTATCAAATTATAATTTATGTGTGACTCGTTTTAGATCATAATAAGAACGGCTACCAAAAGACATAACGCTGATTTATTTCGAAAAGAACATCCGCATTAATTTTTGCAGAGGAAAAAAGTTTTGCTAATTAGCGCTTGTACCTTGTAATATTTAGTTATATCTTAGGTCTCACTTTTTCATAAATTCAAAAGATAAATTTATATTTAAAGACTTTTACTCTGAATAATATGCAAAAAAAAAATCATAAATATTATTCCTTTCGTTTTATGTGATATTATTTTCTTTGGTCTGTGTCAAGAAAAATGTCATATTCATTTTATGTAGTATTATATTTTTTTGGTCTGTGTAAAAAAGAATGTTATATTTTCTTATATGGCAAGTATATAAAGGTATAATTCTTTTTTTTATTTTTTCTTGTACCACTTTATTTTTAAAAATACTACCTAATATATTTATAAGGAGAGAAGAAAATGAGTTTACTTTTATAAAAGTTAATTTGATAAATATTTTAAAATTTTCATTATTTTTTGAACTCTATTTTCAATCAAATGTTACCATTTAATAAGATATCAGGAGCACTGTGATATGCTAACACATTTGTGTTAAAGTAACCTTACTTTGTTGAGTTCCGTGCTAAGCATCTTTTCTATTTTTATTTTTCTTGCCAATCAAAAAGTTAAATAAAGTAAAATTCCACTGTGAGTTTATTACTCCTATTGGAAATTTTAGGAGCTAGAGCTCACTTAAGAATGATTAACTTATCCTCGTAACCCAATTTTAGTATATACCTTGGTCTTTATTTATTTCTCTATATTTTTTTTATATTTATTTTTATTTATTTATATATTTTAATAAATTAAAGAAGAATAATAAATTCTTTTTAATATGATCTTCTTTAATTTTAAAAAGTTTCTGGTACTACTAAGTTATAATGCAAGCTTTTTATTTCCCTCCAATTTATTTTACTTTAATTCCTTCCAAGAGCATTGATTAGTTATCTTTGTCATAAGTACTGTAAATAAACTTATGAACTTCCTTCCAAGATCATTGATTAGTTATCTTAAGTGAATTTATTTTGGAATAGTAAATTGTACTATAAATATAAAATTATGACTAGCCTATAATAACTATTGGTATGTGTCACTTTTAAAGTAAACAACTAAAATAGGAACAGAAAAAATATATAGTATAAGGTGGTCACATGAAATATCACGACCATCTATTATAGTTTGTCAGAATATTATGTAATATCTCAATTTATCAGTGTTTGTGAACTTTATTTGCATTTGCCCTTCAACTTTAATTTATTAGCCCATAAAGGCAAAATCAAGCTATTTAGTAATAATGATCGACTATTTTTTACCGAATAACAAAATGATTCCATTTGAAAATACGGCAATGGCGTACATTTTGTTGTATTAATATTCTGGACCTTTTGAGAAAAATAGTCAATGCTAGATTAAACTTTAATATTCATTTAATTATTCTTTAAAGTTCCTTCTTTTTAAGACCATATATAAGTGGCCATGTGTCCTAGCATCATCTTCAAAATTTGAAATGATTGGATTCTATGTTTTGAAAGGAATTCATTCGTAAATGGTAAGTGGACAGCTTTTGAATTGCAGTATTTTTCCCTACCACATTCATTGATAATAATAAAGTGAGAATATATAATCAGAGGCCGGTCGTGAATTTCAATTTTGCTATGATTTCATAACTGGTTTTAATAATTAAGTTTTGCAATTTTATGTTTGTATATATTAAATTTAAAAATATAAGATCCCAAATAAAAATTATTCGTTTCCCCCACTATTGACAATAATGGTTATTTACTTTGAAATTGTTGGTGGAAACAAGTGGTCCTTAACCTCGGAGAACATTATTCGCTTTAGTGGAACTTAATTCTTTATTTCTTGAGAATTTTTATTTTCATCTATTATTAGCTTTGTGTGTAATTTTATATATTATATATTTGTTATTTGTGTTCTCGATATCACTAAAAAAGATTTTTTATGTATTAAAATTTTCATTTGAAGATTTAGCTAAGAAATTTGGGGTTTCTTGATGAATGATTTTTGTGTGAACTTCAACAGCAAAGTAGTGGGGGAAGAAGAACAAAATAAAATTTCAGAATAATTAGCCACCCAATATCATAATATAATCTTTTAGTGTCGTCATAATATATCTTAAATGAGTCAATAGCTTTTGAAAATATGTATGTATCTTCGTGTTTTTGTTTTTTCAATACTTTATAAATAGTTCTAGTTCTATATTATCTACTTTTTTGGTGAAAAATATGTAAGTTTTCCTTATAAATTCTTTTAAAGATTTGCAAAAATGTTTTCTTAATTGCAATAGTTTTTTAGACACGTTCGCTGCTTCTTATAATTTGTCTTGCCAGAGTTTCAAGTTGGTTCTAAACTAATTTTATATTTGGTTTAATGATTCTTAGCTTTGCACGATCTCTATTTTACTTATTTTGATTACATTCTACGTAAAACATGTATAATCATTAAATATAGGCGTCTTGAAATAATCAACATACTAAATATGTTGATAATTTTTCTCATTCTGCTTCATGGAATTGGATGTTCATTTTAGACAATCATAATAGCGAAGATGTACAGTTGTGCCAATTGAATAATGATAAACGTGTTGAGAAATTTTCAAAATGTTAATATTTTAACATTTAAGAGGGCTTATTAGCAACACTTTCAATATTTAGTAGAAATATCAAATTTTAGTTTGTTATATATCTTATTTATGTTTTTATTATTTGTTTTTATTTAAAGAATATAATTATTTAATAACAAAAGGGGAGAAAATCAAGGGAGACAATATTTCAAAAACGTAAGGATCACTTAATTTTCTCATCAGTTACATTTTCAAATAAAATTTAAACTTTGCTCTATTTTTTCTCCAGAATTTTTACCTTTTTAAAATTATATTCATTCCACAATATATTCTATTTATATTCATTATAGTTTTTTATTAGTTTGTATTCATTCCAATAGGTATGCCAAATGTATCTATATAGTCATTTAATAAATATATTTGTATTCGTATATTTTTTTTCCTCGGTAGTTATTTTTTTCTTTAAAAATCTTGTATGTATTCATTTCAATATGTATTTTATTTATATTTCTATTTATTCTAGTTTTTATTTAGAATTTTGTATAATAATATATAAAATACAAAAAAATAGTATGATGAAAAAGTTAGAATGAAATATAAAATTGAAAAGAAATAATTGAATATTTGGTGTAATCATTCTTAAATAAAATACATAACTAGTTGATATACCTTTAGAATAAATACAAATTAGAAAAAAATGTCAAATTCATAAACTATACAACACAATTTTTGAATGAATACAAATATTAATTGTATACATACGATTTTAAATACAAATTTAGAAAGGGGATACAAAATTCTGAATTTTTTTTTATATATATAAAAAGAAACTAATAGGATTTTGTCTTCATGTAAATAATATACATATCTAGTTAGTATACGTTTGGGATGAATTCAATTAGGAACAAATACAAGATTCATAACTATACAACATGAGGTTTTGAATGAATATAAATATTAATCTCATACATACTAATTTGAATATTAATTGAGAAAGGATATAAAATTCTAAGAAAAAATTACAAATACAAATACATAAAAATTTCATAGCATACAACACAAAAACAAAAGTTTATTAATAAAATCTGAAATGTCATAATAATGTAAAATGTATTCATAAATTATTGAATATCTACAAACGTGAAAAATGTAAAGGAATGAAAAAAATAATACATTATCAAAATTAACAAAAACTGACTTCAAAATACAATAATAAAATAAAAACTGAATACAAAATACAAACTAATAAATATTGAACAATGTACATAACAAGAAATTTACAAATATATTCAGTACATTGAACAAATTGTTATTTAACTTCAACTCAACATGCAAAAATCTAAACATGTAAAAAATATTTAAATACCTCTTCATCAACAATTTGGTCTTCGCCGTCATTTTCTTGTACCATACGAGTTACGTTTTCAATCTGAATTTGATGAAGACTTTATTCTTGTCGTCTCTCTTCCCTAATTTTAGAAGCAGATCTTACAATATCCGTTATTTCTTGAGTAGTACATAGATTAAATGATAAAAAATCAAGAAAAATCGTTTTACTAAGATGAATAGTGTCTCTTAGAATCATTCTTTGAAGAATGTTTTATAAGTTCTAAACGAGAAGAATTTTACTTCCACCAATGATTTAAACAACAATAAAATCAGAAAATAAATCTAAAAAAAGAAGATAACGATGAAAATACTTTAATTAGAGGAATTTGTGTGAATCCAGATTTTGATGACAAAAAAAAATCATTTCGGTAGAAGATAATAAAAAAATTGGAGTTGAAGAGAAGAAGAATTTAAAGGTTGAATAGGAATATGAACATGAAAATATGGAGAGAGAATTTTACTTTTTTTACTTATGGGATAAATATGGAAGAGAGAGATATGGAGAAAATTTGCAGATTTAGATTTTTTAAAAATTAAAATAATTTGGGAAAAGTGAACTATGGATATATATAGAAATGTAAATAAATTATTTTTTAGGAGATAAAATAGGGTTTTAATTAGGATACATATTCTTTTTCAAAATAATGACATTTTCGACATTTTAATTAATATTTTTAAAATAGTAAGTTTTTTACTAATTAAGTTATTGATTTTGACTAGTTTGTTAATTTTTCCTCTTTTTTTTTTCCTTTTTATGTGGAAATAGAGTCTAAGGTTTTGAGAATTTCATCATATTTTTTTTGGGCAACTTTCACATATAGCAAACACAAATTTAAATTTGTATCTTATAACAAAGTTTGCATAATTGCACTTCATAATAAATATATAAATGTATAATTCGCTATATATATACAACTAAAAGTTATGCCCATTTCGCTATACATATATACAAAGAAGTAATTATATAATTCATTGGTTCCTCTTTAGATTTGTATACAATCGAACCGTATTGTATAAAACAAGAAAGAGATAAATTATATACAATTTGAATATGTATAAAACGAGAAAGAGAGAAAGACAAAAGAGACTTGGGCAGGGAATATACAATTGAATCAAATTGTATAAAATGAGATAGAGAGAAGTTATATTCGAATTGTATAAAACGAGAAAGAGAGAACGACAAAAGAGACTTGGGCAGAGAAATATTTGTATTGTATAATTATAAGTGTATAGGACGGAGATATATGTATTTGCATGTGTATATACAATTTTCTCACGCTTTATACAAACAGTAATACAATTTATATAATTATATTGTATAAAGCGAGAGAGGCAAGCGACACTGACAAACAGATTGCTAAGGAACACAAATAAATCAGATTGTTTGCTAAGGAACACAAATAAATGAAACGGTAGCTACTGTATTTATTTTACATTATTAGTTTGCAATTTTATACAAAAAAATTTTTGGGATAAATTTAGTCCAAATTTGAGTAGCCCATTTTTGCATAAGCCCAAAATTATGGTGCATATGTAAGATTTCTTTTAAGTCTTATTGGAGAAGAATCACAAGAGATTGAGTGTAGCATCCATTTTCATACCGCGATTTCCTCTTTGTTTCTTGTCTGATTGAGCTGATATTTGGACAGCGTGTTCCTTTCAACTTAATCTTTGATTTGGAACTGAGAGAGGGTGATTTGGAGCCGTGTAGCTCCAGATTTTAATTTGTGAACAGTAGCTACGTTTGGTGTTTTTGTTTATCTTATTTCTTTATTTTTTGATGCTATCTTGTAGTTGTGTTGCTCATTATTGTTGATGACCATTTTGGAGGACACTTTTGTAATTCTTGTTGATTATTATGGAGCTTTGGTCTTGTAATTTTTACTCTTTACACCGAAAAAGTTTTTCACGTTAAATTTGATGTCTCTTGTTTTGATTTTTTTCTTCTTGCTTGGTTGATTCGTTTGCTATCCAAACTATTTTATTATTGCATTATTTTATCTTCTCTTAGTTCAAATATAAGGAAAAGTTTTGACTTGAATTTCTTCTGCTATCACTTTTTCTTTACACTTTTATTTTTATGCTCGTCTTTCCACCAAAAAATACTTTCTATATATAATAAAAATATAGCAGAGATTAATTCTACTCCACAAAATAGAAAGAACAAAAATGAATTCTTTTTCTTTTCTAAAATGTTTAAAAGATGAGTCTTTTTAAGTATTAGACTTTGTGTCTGTGGACTAGTCAAAATGTCGCCCATTTGCGATAGTGTATACACTGTATACTTATAAAGATTGATTTATTCAAACTAAATGAATTATTTAAATTAGATTAGAGATGATTCTAACAAAAATAATATATTAATTTCATAATTGGTAAATTTTTTATCTTTACCATACAGTTATAAGAGAGTCTCGCCACATCTTTATCATAGTAGCAAGGATTTAAACCTCCCAAATCTCATTTCATCCCTCCTAAAAAAGAAAACGTCTAAAAATAAATAAATTAATTTAGCCGATTAAAATTTATTTAAAAATTAATTATAAAATATTCTATATCATGAAAGTGAATTAAGATAAAATAATAAATATGTATCATAATTTTATCTCGTAATTAGTCATTGTTTAGATTTTATTATAAAAAATTCTATATCATAAAAATAAATTAAGATGAAATGATATGAATTTTGAATCACAATTCCACGAAGGAGTTTGATCTGTAAACATAATTAGATATCGTTAATTTTTTTGCTCCACTTTAAAGTATGTAATTAAAAATTTAATTTAATTAAATCAAATGCAGCGGCAAACCTGATTCGGGTCAGTTGGGTCAAAGCTTACACCCTTTTTGTTTGACTGCTGACGTGGTTTTCTTCGTTAGACTCGTTACCGTTATCTGATCATTTTCCCAAAGCTCATATTAACGACGTTAAGTTTGCTCCATTTTTTTTTCATGTCCAACAAGAAGAGTCCCCCGGGTTACAGTAAAACTTTGAAGGAGGAGGAGGAAAAAGCTTACAGCGGAAGCTAAATTTGGGTTACTGGAGGGAGAAGAGAAAGAGAATTCTCTGAAATTATAGTTTAATTTGTTCTTCAACTGTTTCAGATCTCCCTCGCCCAATTTGAATTTTGTGAAACTAACGTTCTTTCAGGTTCTATATATGTTCACATTTTTGACCGTATACAGCAGAAGAAAGGTATAGTGGAGATTATTCTTACGGATTGATTGATTGTGTGTATATACATATATTGAAGAAGTAAGGAAATTGGTTATTGGGAGAACGCAACTAGTTTAGTTTTAGCAATGGTTTCAAGCTTGTTTATTGGAACAAGTTTTACATTGAAGAAGAAAAGTCTCATGCGTGCTGCTGTTGGCACTCGAGCAGGTATGAAAATAAAAAAAAACTCTCTCTACTACATCTTAACTTCGATTTATTAGTCAATTTACTGTTGATTGAATTCGGAAAATCTGTTCGCTTGCTTGATTTTTCATTTATTGCTCATGGATTAAAGTTGCAGTGCTTGTATGGATGCACAATTCTAGCAATTAATGATGGAATTTAGTTGGAAAACTGCTCTATGTGTGATATTAGTGAAATAATGTATCAATTGATTGCGAATTATCTGACTTACGAACTCCTTTAGTGTGTGATATTAGTGATATAATGTATCAATCAACTGTGAATTGTTTGACTTATGAACCGCCATAGTCATTCCTCTTAATTGAGGCCTGTTCGATATTCAAAAGATTCATTATAGTCGGATTACTTTACACTGACCATCTCTCTTTCTTTATCATGGCTTAGGACCATATATGCTTTGTCAAACTCACATGGGCAAAATTATATTAGTGAAAGAGTGTACTGCATTTATAATTCATTATTTGATATTTGTATTTATTCTATATAGTACTTAATTCCTAAGCATTGTTATGAAAATGTATATCTTCAGTATAGGGTGAACTGTTCAATTTGTTGTATCTATGTTGGTTCTACTTTGATTGATCAAGGCAATCTTTTTTTAAGATAGTTCCTTGTTCCTTGTTTGAGTGGGTAGATACCGTCTGATAAACAGTGCTACTGACATACAACTAGATTTAAGTTTACTAGGATTTTGCCCATTTCGGTGGTGGATTCAATTTCAATAAGGATCACTTTCAGTCAGGTATTACTGTTCAGGCATGTGTTGGAAACATAAATTAAGTGGGATGTAACACATGAAAAGAAAAGAGAAAATCGAGTAATCCATTTTCTTGGAAATGGACAGGAAATGCTAAAATATCAAATATGAGGTCTAAAGGCAAACTATTTATCTTAATGTTTTCGTGCTGTGTTTCTAACCCCATTATGTCCATTCTTTTTCTGTTAACAATTACATGATGTGAATAAGCGAATTGGGTTCTTGACATTCATGGTTCTAACCTCATTGTCTGTAACTTTAATTTAAACCATGAGTAGAAAGATGAATAAGTAATACTTAGTTTTCTAGCTAATTAAATTTTGCAACGTCAGTTTGCACAACTTCTATTCTCATTCATGATCTTGCCAATCAATTCAATACATAATATGAGAAGAACCATTTTCGGTTGGACATTATAGTGAACGCAGAAGTATTTATTAATGAAGTACTTATGAGTTCACAAGGAGTATTAGCTGTACATGTAGCGGAGCATATTTTGCTTGAAAGTTTATACTATTTTGTTTATCAAACTGCAGTCTAGCGTGTCAATTTTCTGTTTAGTATTTAATTGGCAAAATAACTTTAACATTTTCTTTCGTATCCTTTTTCCTTATTGTATTCTTTGTCAACTTCAATTCGCCGGGTTAAACAGTTATTTGGCGACTGTGATCTTCACTGCAGGAGTTGGAGGCTATACCTATTTGTTGAACCCCTTTGGTGGGCAGGCATGATTACAAGTAAGTGGATCATGAGTTGTGATTGTTATTTCCTGTGCTAAACCCAACAGTTTCCACGAGTAAACTTCATTCAGGATAAATATGCATTAGTATCGTTGGGGTCTTAATGACATTTGGATTTGGATATGCAATGATTGCTGGGGAGGTTTCCAATTTTGTGGCCTATATTTATGCTCCAGCAATTCTTGTGACCCAACTTGGTGCGTTGAGTATAATTGTCAGGTGAGATTTTGAAGTCTTATGTGCTGTTTTGAAACTCTGGCAAGGAACTCCTGCTGATGTTTCCATAACTAACCTTGGTAAATCTGAATAGTGCTGTCTTGACACATTTTATTTTGAGGGAAAGACTACAACAATTAGGTGTAGTGGGATGCATATTATGCATAGTAGGATCTGTGGTAATGTTTATACATGCACCTCAAGAGCATATGCCAAGTTCTGTACGATAAATCTGGATTTTAGCAATTCAATTAGGTCTGGACTTTAAGTGTTTTTTCCTGTTTATCTTGCTATAGGTTATGATTCTCTCTCCGTTGAGCTCATTATGAATTTTTCCTCCTAATTTTGTCTGCAACATTTGTAATTTATGTGGCAGCAACAGCAACAATATTCATAGTAGCAGCTTTGATGTTTCATTATGTACCTCGTTATGGACAAACATGCTCATATATTTGGGAATATGTTCCTTAATGGGTGCACTTACAATAATTATGGTTTCTTCTAGACTTCTTCTAGTCATCGTCTATATTCCTACGTAGAATTTGTACATTACGTTCTTCTTGGACATAATAAATCTTTGCAGATGTGAACACTTTCCTAGCCCATCAAGATGTTTCTGTGGCTTTCTATTAATTTATTGAATTTGCAGGTTGTCAGCATAAAGGCTATTGGAATTGCAATAAAACTTACTTTGGAAGGAATTAGATAGATTGCCTATCCGCAGACTTAGTTTTTTTCTAGCTGTTGCAGTAATCTTTGTCTTCACGCAGTTAAATTATCTAAACAGGGTAATGCCATAAAACTTTCCAGCTTGACTGAGATCTGCTGTAATCCATCTCATAAGTCATTTGCATTGCCTTTCCTAGCGTGAATTTCCAATTCTCTAAAATGAATGCTTATAATCAGGACTAGTTCAGACCATACATAATGTGTATATATGATGTCAATACTTGATACCAACTATGCAACAATATTTGCCAAGTCTTTTCATTCTATCTGTGTTTCAACTTTTGTGATTTGGCAATAAACTTGTTGCTCTTTGTTGTGTGTGCTTGATATGTGAGCATTTTTAATATCTGAAACAAGTGCTCTGGTTGAGAATCTTGCAAAGAACTTCATTTAAAATTTTCCTTATTACATGAACCTTGAGATGCACTTTGACCATTGCAAAGTGCAGTAAATGGGCAGTGCATGCTCCTTGACCATTACAAAGTGTACTAAATGTGCAGTGCATGCTAACATTTATGCATCATTTTGATAGGCACTGGATACATTCAATGCTGCAATTGTTTCTCCAATATATTCTGTAATGTTCACCACTTTGACCATCATCGCAAGCACAATAATGTTCAAGGTATGTGATCAATCTGAAGCTATTCTTTGTTGTGGTCCTCTATCAATATGTATACCGAGTAAAGGCTTTGAACCTGTCGTTTGCTTTTTTATATTTCTTTGCAGGACTGGACTGGGCAAGATGTAGTAGTATCGTATCTGATATCTGTGGATTTATCACAGTTCTTTCGGGAATAATTTTACTCCATCTGACTAGAGAACAAGAACCAACAAATCCACCACGTAAAAATTAAAGTTGAAGCATGTACCTGCTACCCAGCTATATAAATCGTCTGGCTCTCATCTTGATATGTGTATATCCTTGATATCATGCAGTCTAAAATCTTATAAAATGTATGGCATTGGATCTGTAAGTCTGCAATACCTAAAAACATATGTTGATTTGGGTGCAATTATCCTATTTTGGGTCAATTTGACTACTTAGTTTCAGTGAACCTTCTAAATTTGGTTACTTTGTGTTTACCTGATCTCAATGAAGACGGTAAGGAACACAAATAAAATAATCAAACTTGTAATCTATCTGATTTTACTTGACCTTTCACAACAATTATTCCATTTCGATATGGGGCTAGACCACCAAAGGAGCACACAACTTTACAGTGCAACATATGGTGAAACAGTGAGGTTATCTGCTCCAAATTTTTCTTAATTACTGCACATGCTCTTCTAATTTTGGGTACTTGGTTCTATGATTAAACATTTTAAAAGAGCATGTGTTTCCATCATGTAACACATTAGCATCCTTTTATTGACATTGGGACAGATGACTCCCTTGAGCTAGTGATTGACAGAAATTATTAAGTACTTTCTGGCATTAATTTTGATGTTGTAGAACTTTCCGTATAAGTTCAGGTCTGGAGTATACTAAATGTTCTTAGAGATACTTCTGCAGAAGCTAGACTTGGAACTCCAAATTGAAGCCTCAATATATTTATATGCCTCAAAAGTATTGTAAGTTTGTGCTTATAATACAGAAGTTTATGCAGGAAATGTATCGTGGTATGATGGAAAAGATATAAAAGCTATGGAGGATGGACACTACATAATGTTGAATGATTCAAACTATTTCTGCTGATATCATCTCGATATACATTCTAGATTTTGACTGCAAAAGTTGAAATTGTATCCACAACTGATGCTTAATTTGTGAGAGTTCTTGCTGAAGCTCCGCAATGTTGAGCTTTACAACTAGGAGGGAAGTTCTGGTACAAGCACAATTTTGGGGAAGGCTATTGATTCAGTCACCTTGTAACTGAAGCTTGGCGTGGATCTTTGCTGAGCTGCTGTTCAAATTTGAGAGCTGTTGTTCAAATTTGAGGTTTGTACATACTCGATGATGTCTCTTCATTCAGTTGGTTGTGCAGAGAATTTAGTTGATTCATGCTGTAATTTATTGTGCCACCAAATTGGTGCAACATATTATGAGTTCTATAGTGTGAGAATATAACATAGTGAAGAAGGTTACAGCAGTAAGTTGGATCATTTATTTTCTGAGGATTTCATGATATGGAAATCTAACCTGTTTATTTACGGGTAATGACATGATGAACTCATTTTCACATCTAAGAGTAATTGGAAGAATTATTCCCTTTGTAGACAAATTTAGCTAATTTTTTTTAGTATAATACATAAATATTACCTTACCTTGACCTTATTTTATATTTATGCCCTTCAATTTTGGATATGCACAAATAGACACTTAAATTTGTATAAAATTATATAAATAGACAGAATGTAACATCTTACATAACAATTTGCATAGTAGGTGGTGATCCTACGTGTTCTATGTCACGTAAGACTCATGCGTCCACTTATTCAACTTTAAAATAAGTTTTAGTATTTAGTTGTGCGCACACACAAAATTAAAGGGCATAAATATAAAATATGACTAAGTTAAAATTCACGTTTATGTATTATGCCTTTTTTGTTTTGTTGCACTTGTAAGAAATGACTTATAAAATAAAATCAAACTAAAAAACACATTTATGTATTATACCGTATGAACATAAATAGATGATCAAATAACCCAAGTTATTCATAGGCAGACAATTACTATCTTAATATTTTTCTTTGTAATTGATATTTTTAGGACTTAAATTTTAAATTGAAGTAATCATTTAAGTATCTTGTATAATACTCTTGCCTTAGATCCTCATTTTCTATTCTATCCCCATTCCTCTATGATTAATATTCAGTTAATTCAAATCATAATTAGTAACTCTCTTTTGATGTTAAGATTAGAAAACGGTTTGCGATTACTATCAAAATGTATTAGACTCTATTTAATATTTGTGAAATTCAATTTAATAATTTTTAGTTAGGAAAGAGTAACAAGATACTCAACATATTGGATAATCTTGACAAAATTATTAGTAAGGAATTTAAAAAATCATTAAATCTCTTACTTAAACTCAATTTGTATAATCTTATTCATATTATCTATCTTAAATTAATACAAAAAATGATCTATTACCTTGAACATTAAAATTTATCAATTCATGATAAATCTTCGTATAAGCTCTCGCAATCCTTTTTTTTTTCCTCATAATACTCCTTTTAATTCTTTCAAGTGTTTCTACTTGTTGGTTTTCCTTTTCCTCTTTATTTTCTAGTCATCAATAAATTATTATGAGGATTACCTGTAATTTCTTAGTTATTATTACAGCAAGAAGATATGGAATGCAATATTTGTGGTCTACAATTACACATTTACACGTCTTGAATAAAAAATTAAAAAATCTATATAATCAACGCAAAGTCCTTTTCCTTTCAGATGAAGGAGTTAATCTCCACCGTTGATCAAGACGAATCTATTCCGTAAAATCGTTTCTTATCGTATGTTGACCGTTGGATTAAATCGACAGATCCCCTTTAATAAAAACCTATTTCTTCGCTTGAAACGAAAGCGAATTCTCTCAAAAAAAACCTACACAGAGATTAAGAGTCCAAAGAGCAATAGCAAAGAGCAAACATGGCGGCAACCGTGAGCGCGTGGGCAAAACCAGGCGCGTGGGCACTTGATTCGGAGGAGAACGAGTTGGAACTTCAAAAGGAAGAGTCGGTGAAGGTTGAAAATCACTCCAATGGCGGCGGTGCCGGTGGCCTTGCCGATTTTCCATCTTTGGCTGCTGCCGCCACCACCAAAACAAAGAAGAAGAAGCCACAAACCCTATCCCTTCAGGAGTTCAGCACTTATAGCGCTGCTAAGCAGTCACAAACTGCCGCCGCTGCGTCAACCAAAGGCCTGACACCGGAGGAAGTCTTGATGCTCCCCACCGGTCCTCGCGAGCGCACTGCGGAGGAACTTGACCAGTCTCGACTTGGTGGTGGTTTCAGATCGTACGGTTACGACAGGCAAGGGGGGAGGGGTTCGTCGGACGATTCTCGTAGGCAGGGAGGGTTCCGAAGAGATACCGATAGGGAAATTGCTCCCTCTCGTGCCGACGAGACTGATGATTGGGGTGCAGCTAAGAAAACATCGGCTGGTAATGGTTTTGAAAGAAGAGGGGAGAGAGGTGAAAGGGGAGGTTTTTTCTCCGATTCCCAGTCTAAAGCTGATGAATCTGATAATTGGGGTGCGAATAAAGCTTTTGTACCCTCTTCTGGTCGAAGATTTGATAGGAGAGTGAGTTTTGGGTCAAACGGTAGTGATTCTGATTCGGATCGGTGGACCAAAAGAAAGGAAGAGGAAGGAGGACGGAGATTTGCCTCTGGTGGTGGTGCATTCGACAGTTTAAGAGAAAGAAGAGGCGGTTACGATTCAAACGGTGGCGTGGATTCAGAAAATTGGGGAAAGAAGAGAGAAGAGAACGGAGTTTCTGCTGGTGGTGGTAGGCCAAAGTTGAATTTGCAACCAAGGACATTGCCATTGAGTGAAGGACAGCAGAACGGTAATGAGCCCGTGCCTGCTCCTGTCCCTGCCCCTGTGGCGAAGCCAAAAGGGACTAATCCATTTGGGGCAGCTAGGCCAAGAGAGGAGGTATTGAAGGAGAAGGGACGGGATTGGAAGGAGATTGACCAAAAGCTTGAGTCTTTGAAGGTAAAGGAGGCTTCTGAGTCCAGTGATGGTGCTCCAATCCCCAAGAAAGCTTGGGGGAGTCCTAACGGGAAGCTGATTTTTCGCGAGGACAAGACCGAGAAGAGTTGGAGGAAGCCTGAGCTGAATGAAGTTCCTCCTTCCAGGTCTGATGGATTCTTATGTTAGATTCTAGATTTATCAACTCTTGTCGTGTGCTGACCAATGTTAATTTTGTGTGATTTCATGGATTATTACTGCTTGCTATTCGCAGAATATACTTTGATTAGTTAATTGGTTGTAGATATTTGTGTAGCCTTGTTTAGGGGTTTAACAAGTTATGTAAAGCTTACTTTTATTGTTTGCTGGATTTCCCTAAATCTAACTGCCTATACTCCCATATTCTAGAGCATGGTGTGTACCAAGTACCAAGTATAATGTAGTCGTGTATTTACATAGTCCAAGTGTAGTTGTAATGCCATGGATGACTATAATTTTTTATTTGCTTGCTTGATATTGAAAGATCATTAACCAGCTCTTGGACCTGACACTCATTGGTAGGACTTAGGGAACAACCTTGGTGTCCAGCAATGCAGTAAAAAGCTGCCTTTCTGTTTTCCCCTTGTATCGGCCTCAGAGGAACATTTGTACTGGATGCACTTCCTCCTAATTTAGGGTTATAAAGTGGGGGTTTGTATGCAAAATGTATATAGATGATTTGTACAAACTCATGGAAAGAATGAGGCTTTAAATTGCTTGATGTGCTGATTCTTGCTTCTGGGTAGTGCATTTTCTGGCAAGGACTCAACTTGGAGTCAGATAGGATTGGGTCGTTCATGCTGTGTACTGGGTCGTTCTTGTTCCTTTGTTTTGTTTGAGCAGCAGCTTTGAGTTTTACATAATTTGCTGATTGTGCAACAACCTAAATGCCATGGTTCCTGACACTCATTTTTATCATGTTTTGTAGTGCTGAGGAAACTGTAAATGAAACTGCTGCTGAGTCTGGTGGTGAGCCACAAATATGATGCCAAAGGAAGTTAAAAGTTTATGAGAGCTATGTTTCCTTCAGAGTTTGAAATAGATTCATGTGATGCGAAGCATTGAAGCAATTTTGATAGAACGTGTTATTTCTTAGTGTTTTGTTTTCTGTGTACCTACAACATTATCATTTTGCTATTTATGTTTGTTCCTTTTTTTATGTGGACTCAGTTTAAAATTGTTTCTTCTTATTCTTATGTGGAACAAAAAGGGCATAAAGACTGTTAAAGATGATAGATTTTGATTTTTGATAATTTATTTTTGGACTTCTCCCGGTTATTCTTATCATGTTATCTTCTTCTTCTTAGTAGAAAATAGATGTTCTAAGTTCTAACAGGAACGAAGATTCATCCTTATTGAGCTCTAATCTCTTCACTTCTGCTTCTTCTAGACTTCAAATTTAAGAAATATTGAGGTCTTGTTTCATCTTATAATAGAGAGTATGCATATTGTCTGTTTTTGTATCAAAAGACATTATGCTCAAGGAATTGTAACTTCAATTTTCTTAAAGGAGCACTATTTGCAACAATTTCACCTAACATATAAAGCTAAAGCTATATTGGAACTAAAACGTAATTGTCAACTATTTCCCGTATCATTTTCTAAGACAACATTTCTAGATTTTCTATAAAATATATTCTTAGAAATAGGTCCATTCATTATCCAAGATACGTGGCGATCTTCTGATGTGATAGATTAGTCCTTTTGCGATGTGTTGACACGTTAATTACATTACTATTAAGTAACAATATCTCTAATTATCAATCATAATACATTTTCATGGTACGACAGCACATCATTGTGTTACGTGTAGTTCTGTTGTTATTGTTTTCTTAGTTAATATTATTCATGAATGCTCCACACGACTCGGACGGCTATCTAATATGTTATGTATCAACACCAGTAGTTTTACGGGCGGAAAGTGATATGTATATAATTTTATTTGTGTCTTATGAATTTGGATAGACTTTTATTAATAGATACACAACTCAAGTAAATTAAATCAAATTAGGTATAAAAAAAGATATTGATAATTGTAAACAACAAATAATATGATAATAAAATAAGTAATAATAACATTGAAAATTATAAAAAAATAAAAAATAATTTCACCTAACATATAAAGCTAAAGCTATATTGGAACTAATATCAACCGTAAGTGATATTATACAATTACTACACACACATCAACCATCCTTCTATAACCCAAAAGTGGACCTGCTTTTTACTCTGTTTGTCAACGTTCAACTGGAAACTGCATTACTCAACAAGATGTTGTCTATTATTATTGCATATTTACACTTTATGTTGCTTCAATTTGAAAGTCATAGCTGTAATTGCAACTTTCTTTCGTTTCACATTTGTATTATTAAATAAACAATTCATTTTCTTATGAGCAATTCTAGTCACATGAGACATATGACTCTTGGTTTATTTTTTAAATGATGTATTGTAAAATATGGGAGCTTTATATCTATATTAGTCCCTCAAAGTCTTACTTAGTCCTAAAAGTACAATTATCCACATTTCTCAACGCTTGATCGAAGTCCTAAAAGAAATTAATTTGTTATTCTCTTACATGCCTTCCAAAAGTAGTTGTACAATTAAGTTGTAATGGATCATCAAGAATCTTTAAAATTGACACTTCAATTAAAAACAATTATAAAAGAGTTGTACGTAGTTTAATTTGTAATTATGTACACCATTTGTACATAAAATAGTATGGCAAATAAGAAAGGTTGGTGATTGCAATAAATTGATTTAGTTTGCATGATAAAAAGCTGGATCATAATGATTTTTACCATGTCTTAAATGAATTTCCGTACCAATATACTGCATCTATCCCAAAATAAATATTTTGTCATAAAAATAAAAATAACTGTTTTAAACTATACCCTTATATAATTGTGGTAAAAATCTCAAGAAAAATATAGAGTAACTTAGTAAATTATATCTTACAATTTTTTTAAATAAACATGAAATGAGTTATAACAACACTTATTTTGAAACGGAGGAAACAGTAGTCGCCAATTTTTTCAAAAAACTCATTAATTGAGACAGTTGAGTGTTGCTGTATAACCAAAGCTTCATAAATTCTTGCCCTGCAAAATTGGAGTCGGAACCAACCCATTACTGGCTTTTACTACTACTACTTAAGTATCTTTATCTTGCCATCAGAACTCAAAAGAACATCATGGATTGGTCACAAAAGCATTACTTTACAGCTTTTCTAATTGTTGCAACAGCCATTCGGGGAATTCATGGTTATACTATGGTCTCTGGAACTGTCTTCTGTGACCAATGCAAAGATGGCCAAATCTCTCTCTTTGATTATCCTCTAAATGGTAACTAAAACTATTTAATTAATACTTAAGTTCCCATATGACATTATAATCAACTCTGTTTTTGGTGTCCTGCTTCTTGATATTCTTGGATTATAAAAATCTTGATTATATGGGGAGCATAGTGTATAAAGCTCCTGCTGTGCATAGGGTCGGGAAAGGATTGGATCACAATGGGTTTATTGTACGTAATTTTACCTTACATTTCTGGAAGAGTTACTTTCCACTGTTTGAATCTATGACAAAGACTCTTCACATTGCATCAAAGCTCCCTTTTCAGTCTTGAATCTTGATTAAACTCGAAACAGTCCTCTTCTTACTAACATTGTTACTTAAGTTTTAAGTGTCAAATTGTGTGCAGGAATAAATGTAGCAATGGCATGCCCAGACAACAATGGACAAATGACAACATGGGGAGAAGAAACAACAAATTGGCTAGGAAGTTTTGCCATGAAGTTCGATGGAAATCCAGATTTGAGTAGCTGTGTTGCACAGGTTTATCTAAAGTACTGCTTTTTTTTTTCTTGTACTGTGGATTGATTTCTCAGATGATCATTCAACAAATACAGTTATTATCTCATAATGTCCATCTGAGAAATCAGATTCATATAATCGACCTTAGATTGTTTGAAATTGAGACGTAATTGTTATTGTTGTTGCACAGGTTACAAGCAGTAATGAGCAAGGGAAAAGAGGATGTGGGACAGGAGGAGGACCAGGGAAGTCACCAAGATTAATATTTAGTATGTTTGATATGAATATGTACACAATTGATCCTTTGATTTCTCAGCCTTCAGATCCAATGTCTTTCTGTCCAAAATTTTCATACCCACAGCCACATCCTAACCCTGTTTCCCCAGCTACACCACCATCAACACTTCCATATCCACCTACTCCCTCAATGCCTCATTTCCCCTATTTGGATGCTTCAGCTTGCCCACATCAGTAAGTTCTTAACATTATTTTTTTATAAAGTCAGATTAGTAACATGAAATATAACACACTCATAGAGGTCACTTTGGTACACAGTTATAAGTATATTTTGATTAGTTATAAAAGAATTTATGTATTTTTATTTTATGCAGTGATTAGTTATTCATGTATTACTTATTTCACCTTCTATCACGTTAAAATTATACATAGCTTTCCTCATAGCTTATACATATACTATAAATTATGCGGATTTTCAAATTGTAAACCAAACACTATTAATTTTATGTATGAATAACTTACCTCTTACCAAGTGACTAAATATAATACCACTTATGCATAATTTAATACATACATGATTGATCTCCAAACCAATTACCAAACGACACCTTACTACGACCGTTTAAATACACAGTTATGCAAAAAAAAACTTTTACACTGTAGCCGTAAATGCATAGCCAAACTACTCTCTTTAAAAAGAAATTGTCTTTATGGTCTGTACATCTGGACCATTATTTATTCACATCTTTGACTATTTCTGTTACTAAAAAATTTTCCCCAGTGTCGGTGGAGCATAGTGAAACAGAGCTAATAACATTGTTTAAATGTTGACATCAGATGAAGAAATTAGTACATTTTTCTAACATAATGACAACATTTACACCAGAAGAATCTTGGATCGAATGATTAGACATATTACATTATTTTTAAATATAGAAATGTGACGTTCTTTTTACCTGCAGGAGCTGGATAATGCCAGAGTACCGCTGCTACTGGAAAGTAATAAATCCAGATTTAAAAGTAGGTGTTGTATTTGGCCTAATTGCAGCTAGAAAATATGGAACTGATATGACATTATGGGAGGGAATGCAAGGTAGAGGAGAACCTTATAAAACTTTGTTAAGAGAAGGGACAACTGCACTTTTGAATTCTTATAACAGTGTACAATTTCCATATCATCCATTGAGTGTTGTTCAACATATGAATTGGGCATTAATGGGATCAACTCAACAAGTTATGCATACAGCTTTGAATTTCTTGAGGGCTAATTCTGGAAATGGAAGAACTACTTGCAAGTTCAATCCTTGCAAGTGATTATTAGTATTAATTTCATTTCTTGGTGTACTTTTAATAGATTTGTAGTTGAGTTAATCACGATTATATTACTCTCTAATTAGTAATACGTTGTTGGCGTATACTCTGTGTCTACATTTGCTCTGTACATCATAGTATTTTGGAATTGTATGTTACTGATTCCCAAAATCATTGCTGATTGCTACAGTATGAAAATAAAGAACTCCTTTGAAATTTTCCATACCTAGACTCACGGTGGAACTTCATTTGTTCAACATTAGACAGCTCAATTTGCCATTTCAAAAAGTCAATATTACAATTTTATTTTCTGTTCGCAAGCAGGTATAAAGATGAACAGCTAACTATGGAGTACTTTTTCTTTTTTCTGTGAAATTTGAATCATGCATTGCAGGGCTTCAATAAAATTTTCTTTCATATCGAGGGCTCGAATATAGAAAAACTTTGTTAAAGAGAATATTTTCTTGGGCACCAAATCCAACTAAACTTGCTTAAAGCTTAAAATAATAATAAAGTAATCCCCAAGTCTATCGGCTCTGTGTTTGAGACTTGAAGCATACGAATTATGCACATGGCAACTTCTGGGAAGAAGAAAAGGGAGTAGAGGTTGCGTTTTATATGATGGTAAATTTCCACTAATTATCTTGAATCAGAAAAACAAAGATGGAAGGCTGCTCGGTTTTTAAGATTGAAGAAACCAGCATTAAGGAAATCCATCAAGCATTTGCTCAAGGCAAACTCACCGCAAGAGAACTAGTCGACTTTTACCTTCACCAAATCGAAACCCTAAATCCGCTGCTTCGCGGGATTATCGAGGTGAACCCGGAGGCCCAAAATCTAGCTGATGAGGCTGACAGACACAGAGTGAACAGTACTGGAACTGGAAGTTTTTTAGGGGAGTTACAT